ATACCTTGATTTTCCACTATTAATCTTCGTAGGCTTTACTCACGCAGGTGTCTCTTTTGTTTGCTTTCTGTGGGGATCGGAGTAACCACAGGGGTTTCTCATTTGCAATATTTTTTTGGCTCATTCATCTAACTAGTGTGTATTTTGTCAATGAGTTCCCGCATATTCTTTATTTACGCTCAACGCAATCATTCTGGAGAGTCCTTCGAAATCGCTTCATTCAACAAGCGAAAATAAAAGCTTATAAGACAGGTATTCGGCTTCTCATATGACATATTACCGAACTGTATCATTGGGGTTTAAGGCAGAGCTTGTAGCGGGATATAGGAATCTGGTAAGTGCATAATTTAAAATAGGGGGGAAAAGCTTATCGTCTCCTTCAGCCTGGAAAGTTTTTACGCAGACGCTGTTTTCAGAATGTGAGATTTTCACTAGGAAATACGATTTTGGCACTTAAGAAGAATTTCTACCAATATATCAAACTGATCTGTTGGATAAACTCCCCATTACAAAAAAGTTTTGGCTAGATCGCAGTTGGTAGCCAGGAATGGGGAAGCGGACGGCGACCTTAACCCTAATCCTCACCTTAACCCTAACTCTAACCCTAACCTCAAACTTAAACGTTAACCGTTAACCCTTACGGCAATCCTAACCCTAACCGAAATCGTAAACGTAACCGTAGCCCTTAGACATAGCCGTAACTGGAAAACCTAACCATAATACTGAAACCTAATCGTACGCTCAAACCCTAACAGTAACGCGAAAACCTAAGCCGAAAGGCATAACCCTAACCCGAAAATCGGAAATCATTAACCGGTACCCTAATCCTAACTTCAAACGTAAAACGGAAGCCAAATGGGTCAGATGTGATTATGGAACTCCACAAAATAGCCCCAGTAAACAAACCCCCCGCCACCTGTAATACGGGGCCTGGCTACCAACTGCGATCTAGCCAAATTTTTAAGTTAAAGGGGCGCCTAATATTTTAAACTAAGAAGTACTTCATATGCCTTCGAAAACTATGCATTCGGAAGCATTATGCCGTCATGGCTGTTATTTTCCCAGAAATGTCTGCACAATCATTTTATTAGTTGGTTGATGACTATCTCAACCCACTTGGAAGGGATACTACGACAGTCAGGGTCACTCAGGTTCCTTTTGGCATTTTTATTCGGATGCACTTGTAAAAAACCGGACGGCCTAGGTGGAACTCGAACCCACGACAGAGAGGACAAGGCTTGAGTACAGCCAACGCTCTAACCACCTGAGCTACGAGACCCCACCACGGGCTGTGAATTTGGTTGCATTTGGGTCAAGTTACCCGCACAGCCTATTGCAACTGCGTCAATCCGAATTATTCGAGCATGCCAAAAACACTTAACTAAGTGAGCCTAGAAGTCATCTAGCGGATTCCAGGTCGATTGCTTATGCAATTTTGCTAGGAAAGCCGGCTTGCCGTATCAGAGTTAGTGGATTCCATGTGTTGCAGTAGACTGTGCGGGTAAACTTGACCAAACTGTGATTGAACTCACCTACCCCCCCTCCCCCCACCGGGGCATCCTAGCTCAGGTGGTTAGAGCGTTAGCTGTACAGAAATCATAACATTGTTGTCGTGAGTCCGAACCCGGCCGAGGTCGAATATAATATTCAAATGTCAAAGATACCCATTAATTTCCACAAGTGCTTGCTTATTAAAACATGCTTTGGCTTACGAATATACGACAGAGGATCTTAGGCGGCCGACTTTCTCAGACCACCTCTGCCATATGCGGCATCAGAGTCAGAAGCATTATAATTTCTACAAGAGCATCTGGATGAAAAATGCCCATTGAGTAAATCTCAAAAGGCTTTTTCTTGTTGGGACGTGATCCGATCCTAACCCTAGTTAATCTCTTATCAGGGGACGGATTACAGTGGGCGAAAGCAGAAATCAGAGGGATCTACGTACCAAAAGTCGTCTTAATGTTACTCTGTAACCATAATGCTGGCCCTAAAAACGACATGGTTGAATACTACCGTAGTTAAACCGGATCCGAGACAGCTGCGACAATACTCTGCCAGATTTGGCTCACTTCCCTCAGCAGCTGCTCCAAAAAGTCACAGAGGTTTTCGGTAAAGAAAAGAGGGGTTCAGACGTTGCTGTTTTTGCTTTCCTTTTCCCCAAGTAGTCAAATTTTAAAGGAATAGACTTACTCACGCCTGTGTGCTCTAATGACATTAAGTATGATGATAAACGCGAATATGGGGACCTAAGCTTTTGAAAAATCACATAAATCTGTCACCAAAACGAACTAGGAATGCGAGACACGCAAGATTTGCGAATAAGCACAAAAGTGCTAAAAAGGTGAATAATCCCTTACGGTTTTGGGGGAAGTGGTGGGAGAGGACTGGAGTGACGTCGAGGCCGAAGGCGGAAACTGAGATCCAGCGAGCAAAGTGCTGAGGCGAGACCGGGTTCACGGGGTCGCCGTTAGTAAACAAACCCTCGCCGCAGAGATCAGGCCTGTCTGACACGGTCCAGCGACCCCTCCTACCGATGAATTGTGTATGTGTGTAAAACTGCAGTTAAAGTAGGTTACTGACACCAATTTTGCCATATATTGCGGATGTGCACGCGTATGCATTTGAGTGCGTGTGTGTGTGTGTGAGTGCGTGTGCGTTAGCGTGCATACGTGGGTGATCTTTGCCAGCCGGGCGTGATCATCGTTCAGCGCGCGAGTACATTGTTCGTCTCAGCTCCACCCATGGTGGCGGTGGTGGTGGAACTTGTTAACGTTGGAGTCTAACTCCAGGTCATTGGATTTGACACGAGATTGACAAGTCCTCGCCTATCGCACGCTCCACTCTGGCGCTGGTTCGCTGCCGCTTGCTGTCACGCCTCTTCCACCCCCCTCTCCCCGCCTCCCGTCACTCAGGCCACACACTAGCACACGGCACGGCAGCGGTCTGATGCTCTCCTTGTTTGTCATGGCTGCCTTAGCGACCAATAAGTCGGCTCGCCTGTTTGGGTCTGTAATAAGCGCACCCCCGTCAGACGAAAGGCTCCACCACCGCAACGTGCGCTTGCGCACATACGCGCGCGCACTCGTGCACGTCTGTGCATGCGTCGTCGACTTCAGCGCACGTTCGTCGTCAATCGATTTTCGCCATCCGGGTGGCACACTTGAGGCTGGCCTGCCACCAAAGGACAGTCGGTCGCGGAATACGTCTCCTCTATCAACCGGAGCATTGAATAACATTCGTAGGAGGGATAGTGATTCGTACGGTCGTATTATGCTGACTCCCCTGGCGCCAGGGTGGTAATCCCACCCCAGGCCACCTACGTCCCAGAACAGACAAGGGTCCAAGTGCGGAAAAAGATAATCTAGATTGCCTACGAAATCCGTTTCGAATCTCCAGATCTGACTTCGGGTTCAGAGCCCACTACGTGGTAGAAAGATTGACTGCGCATTTAAATCTACAAATTGTTTATCGCGACGCAGGAGTTACTTCATGAGACCGACAAGCATATCCAATTCGCAACTCAAAGGTTGTTCATTTCAGTTCCGCGGCTGGTCGGTTTACGTTATTTTAAAATGACCTGTAAAACCTGATTTTCTCATTGTTTCTACAAATTTTCCCCTCTTGGATAATTAATTGCGAACAACTGTGAGAAATAAAACCGAAAATTCATGCGTGAGCGTCGATGCTTCGCGGATCGAAATTTTGACTGTTCCACCCAATGCTTAGCCAGCTGGACATAAAAACGAACTTTGACGGTCTTTGGGCGTGTGCATTTAACTTAATGCCTGTCTCTTCCGAAACCTAAAAACGAGCCATCATAAAACCGTGTTGCCTGTAGTGATGGGAGTTTCAAGCATTGACGAACGGTATAGGATAAAGCACTTGACTCAAGCCAGGGACTTCCCAAAAGGATGGCAGCATGAGGACTTACTCGGTATATTGTAAGCACTGAGATGATGGACAGAAAACGCTAAAGCCATAATAAAAACCAACACTTTCAGACAGGAAAATTGGGAAAACGAATGGCCACGAGAGCGCTACGGATAACGACAAACCCGGACGCTCCGTAAACTAAAAGTGTAAATAATCCGACAAGAATTATGGAGTCTTTTATGGATATTTTATGCTCATTAGCAACTATCAGAAAGTCACACACAAACTTCAGCTCCAGAGCACCTGACACATATCCGTTTGGGGAAGACGGGCGTTTGATTTTTGACCTGCTGCCGCGCCAGGTTTGGACGGGTTTATTAAAGCATTTTTGCCCCAGGCGTGATAAACAGTTGAATCCCTACTCCGGAGGACGCGCCAGCGTCAACTATTCAGCTCTGACAACCTGGACCAGATACGTTTCCGTGGGACTGCTTGACTGGCCTCCCTTTCCTCCTCTGTATTCGTCGGCATGTATATTCTGGCTAATTGCAGGAAGCTGACTATTTGCTCACCTGGAACGGAATGTTCTCGTCTGTTTATTCACACTAAGTAATGGCACTGTCTACCGTCCACGTCCACATGTCCCCGAAAGAAATGACGTTCCTATAGGAAGCGTTCACTTCGAAAATAATGGAAACGATTTTGTTGCTCGTGCTACAGTGTGGTACTTCGGCGTTTTTTCGTTGGACTTTCTATCTATTTCAGGATGAATGTGATCTCCGACTGACATAAGTTCGATTTTCCTCAACGCACATGTCAACGTTCAGGCTGATCCATCTTATTCTTATTGTGAAATACACCCTGATTAAATCCTACACTATGCCTTGATCTGAAGTGGTCTGATTTGATTCACCAGTCGATTTCGAGTGTGATCATTTCATACATGTATTTTGATTCGCTGATAGGTTTTGCTGATTAATCGCAAATGCGACTCTCGCCGAAATACGCAGTGGAATATGCGCATTTCAAATCATCACATCTAGCGACTGCCACGCCCTTGTGTTTGTGGCTTGGGTCTCCTTACCTTGTTGTTTTTGGCCTTTTGTGCCTCAGTTCGTAGCCTGATGCTCGACAACGCCCTAAATGGCGCCAGCGTCGTCGATGATGCCATACAGCACTCGGGAGTGGGTAGTCGCCCTGCTGAAGGGCATTCGCCAGAGGGCGGTAAGACTGAAAGGGCTATTTCTGGCTTACTAGCAGCCGCCAGTCATGCCTCATTTCCAGGTTTGGATAACTCAGAGCTCGAACCCAGAACACTTACTTACTGAGCATCGGTAATTAAGTCACGAGCTTTTTTTATCGTATTAATATCCTTTATGCATGACTACTTGACTCTATTCGACTGTTAGACGTGACAGGACAAACGTGCTCCAGGCTGCATCCAGGTCGGTGAAAACCCCTAGCAATATTAACTATCGTCCGCTCTGGTTCTGGAGCTCCCTCTACGTTTTGCGGGCAGGTTAATTGTAAGAGCCTCCTTCGCTCTGACTACCAGCAGCTTAATTCGTGTTCAATTGCCTTGGCTTAACTGTACTAAGGTTAAGGAAGGAATTCAGAATAGGCTTCCTGATTACAGAGAATAGGGGAATATGTGCGCAGTGGAAAACGGGCCATTATGCTTTGCGGTCAACTGCGCTTGAACACTCCGGAAATTGAAATAAACTGCGGGTTTGAAGGGGATGGAAATTGCCAAAAAAGTGTTACTTTATACTATAGGGCCACAAGGCGCAGAACCGAAAAAGAAATCTGGTGGCTCGAACTCGATTTTCTTTTATCAAGTTTTCCAGAAGAATAGCCAAGTTACATCAAAATTAATGACAGGTTCGGGACAGTTTGCTCCCCTCCAGTACCTTTCTAAACCGACCGTCTTAAGGGACAGTCATAGTTTAGACTGAAGAACTTCTAACAGTGTAGAGGTCTTGAAAGTTCCATTTTGGGACACTTTAAGATGAATGCTTAGATCAGTGGAAAGTATGTCGACGTCAAGTATTCCCCAGTATAACGTTAAAGTCCGCGAGATATTTTATGGATACTGAGCACTCGGCACGTCTCTACTGAAGTCAAGCCCGAAGTAAATTTACGGCAGCTCAAGTATTTTCGGCAGGAACCGCTGCTTTCCTTGATGTTGCAGGCCGGTAAAGTCGAACCTCTTGATCCTAAGTTTGTATCCACATATTATTATATGGTCCGCAGTTTGAGCAGTCGAGGGCAGGGAAGAAGTCTGATAATCGTCAGATCGGTAATTCTAAATGCAGCTCGAAAGAACACATTCTTTTTTGCGGGACGAAAAATGAAATACTCCGATGTCTCTGTTTTCATCGAAGCTGCCACAATGACTAAGCGACACACTTTCTTCTCAAGGACACCAGATATGCGCGACTTAGGCAGAGATGGCCAGTCCAATCAACCTGTTCCCATCAGTAGGTCCGTTTTAACACGTATTATGCTTAGCGTTCGGTGTAGTTTTTTTAAAGGTGATTTCTGCAAAAAAAGGATGCAACACAGTCACCAAGTAATAGTCATCTCCATATGTTATTGCGCCTTGCTGCTAGCGAGGCAAGCTGAAGTAGGATACTTAACATTTCTTGTTGATAAACCGTAGAACATCTGTCCATTTTAATGAAACGATAAATAACGAAGACGTCAAGTAACCCTTTCAAAGGGACTCTTGAAAACTGAGGAAAACGATTCAACACCGAAAGAATGGGCAGATACGCATGGAATAAAAATTACCTAACTCTATCTCGTCCTGTTGTTTCTGAGAAGTTATGAGTTCGGCCAAGCAAATTTATTAAAATATATTCCCTCAGACAGCAGTGTCTTCGGCTGATTTGCCCCCGGTTTAACCGACACAAAACATAAAATCTCAAAACCCTTTTCAGATTGCAAGCCTTAATTCTTGATGGGATATTTGACGGTTCGGACCTATACAGCACACAGTTACTCTTACACGACGTTAAAATTGTCGAAACTCAGTACCAGGACTGCATTTGTATCAGCATCCATTGGTATTGAAAAGTTCAAAACGGAGGAAACAGCTTTCAGTTTGATCGGTGAGCATTAATTCAAAATTTTGAAAAACAGGACGGCATTAGAAATTGCCGCAAACCGTCAGAATTCTCGTACAGATACTTTTGTTCTGTGCGATCCACTATACGACGCTCCGAATCGGCCTTTGTGTGGTCACACAAGTATCTTGTTCGGAATTTTTTGTCGTCCCAGGCAAGAAAGACCAAGTAGGTCACATCCAATCTTTTTTTTTACAGTCATTTGTCAACACGGACACGTATGCTCACTTATCAGACAGTAGTGACTGCCTTCCTCGGAAGATATTAAGTTTTGAACAAAACTTGATCAATCGCAGTCCACACGGGTGACAATTAAGTAATAACCGTGCAAACCTGATATACTAATTCAGAAAATTCGGAAATCCGGGTAGATTAGTCCTGCTATGTTACTTCCACCCGTTACCCCGCATGCAGGAAACAGGAAGAATGCTACCTGATCGCAGACTTCAGACTTTTAACAGGTACATACAGCACATAAGTGGGACCCTGTCCACGCCACCAAACATCCACTTAAGGCAATAAATCACCTTTGGATTTTGGAAGATAACATTTTTTTGGGGTCCAGAGGAAACGATGATTAGTATAACACTAACGCTTCTGCCAATTCGCTTTTTCGGCGGTATCGAGAAACAGATGTGCTTAATTCTTCATCTCATATAGAACAAGTTTATGATTCGTTTCCGTATCTGACTCCCCAAAAATGAAATTCTTGGATATAGCTATATGTTTGCTTGGAGTTCTTTAGACAAATCCAAAAGGCAGTTGAAGTTTTAACAAAAGCAGGCGGAGGCGGCAGAGACAAATGCATAAGACTTCCCCGTGTAGGCGTCAACTCAATGCTTCTGCCTTAGGCAGCTAGTTAATTTTGCAAGCAAACTATGGTGTAACGTCTGTGCGATGTTATAAACTTTTCCAGTCCAAATTTTCTTCTCTACACGCGACTCCGGGATAACCTGACTTAATGAATGTAACTGCACTGCATCCTTTTTTCGCTTTTCTTAGGCAAGCTGAGTTTCTGCTCACATCCCTGACATATGCACCCGCGGAAGCATTTTGCTCGAAGGCCAAAACACACGTGACTGACAGCCGTCTTACTTTACAAAAGAGGTTCCCTGCAAAACCTAATAGTGAGGTCAGTTGATTGAAAATTATGAAATCTATAAGACAACTCTAATAAGTGAGGCAGGTTGCATGCTGGCAATACAGACCTATCGTTGTTTTCTCTATCATCAACTGATTACCATCTTCCGTATTAATTCATTTCAAGTAGGTTCTATCAGCTCTCCTCAAAAATTTCGAACAGTTGGGGTAAGGTAATACCATACTAATAGCACAGGTGCTAGCCAAAAGCCCATACACGCGTGTTTTGCCGATATTCTGCCGCTGCATTGCGCAGCTGCGAGGGGTTCGGCTCGTCAGTTGGTTCCCCAGCATCCCCCATCTGTCTGTTTTCTGCTAGATACTCCAATTTCGTAGATAATTTCTGAGGAAATTAAAAAGTGACAATTTCGAACAGTTTTCATTAACTAGGGTAAGGACTCAAAGATACTTTGGGCTACGTAGGAACTTTAAGCGTGGCGAGGGGGGGAAACAACTCACCTTAACTCTTCAGCTGTTCCACGAGAGTTATTTTGTCGGTGATCATGAGATTTACTAATGAATCCGCTATGATACAACGTGAATAGTGCTGGGAATTTCTTCTCTCCTGAATTGCGCTCAGCGCAAACCACCTTAACCAATGGGACATCCGTCACTCTTCCTCATTAAGCGCAACTCCTGATCGGTGGTCACCTAATGAACCAATCAAAGCGCTGCTGCAGCAGCCGCACCACCGTAAGCCGACACGCGTCACTGTGGCGAGGGGTGGGCGAGTGAGACAGAGGTAGCAGGAAGAAAGGGGTAAGGCAAACCGGGCGGAGACGATGTGGCAGGCATGCGGGATGTGCATTTAGGGTAAGTCGTTTGTCCGCACTGAAAACTATGTGCGGTGTCTCGTCCCAGCCGCCACATCTACCAATCACAGACTTGTAAAATGAATGCACAGGCTCTCTGAATGTAGAAACTATCCAAGTTATAACAAGGTCGACCGAGTCGAGGAAGATTTGTATAACTTTTTCACGACTGATTCTTGAGTATTAGGTGAACTTCATGCAAATACTCAAAATCCAGAGATAAAGAACGGAACTTCACCTTGATCCGGAGTTATTTTTCGGACTAGGAAGATGACCGAATTGTTATAATCCCCTTTCAGTCAGGAAGAGGCCGCTGTAGGCCGCCTGGGAATGCTGAATGGACTTGCTAGGTGAATGGGATGCGGCGATTTACAGAGTTCTACAGAAGATTACAGAACTTCAATAATTCGCGATGTTGTTAAATGTCCTGTAAATTATCTCTCTCTATGAAAAAGCTATTTCGTAATCTCTAGTCGAGGAGCAGTCAGCTGCTCATAATCTGGGGTAATGGCTCTGGATGACAGTTCGACCATCGTTTTCGATGATGTCCACCCTGTGCCCCACAGTTGCAGCAGCAATGGGAGCAGGGACGGTGATTTACGCAGGGGTTTATAGTGCCGGTAGACTTGCGTCGCATCTACCTACACTCTCTCCTCCTCCCTCGCCCGAGCCCGGTGTCAAGACAGAGTCAAGAAGACCGGAAACGAAAGAGGCCGCAGGTGGATGGCTTGGACGGATCCTCACCTTGGCGTTCCACCACACCCCCTGGTCCACACAACAAATGACCAGGATTTCAACCAACACAACAGAGATTTGGAGGCTGGCACGGCCGAAGCCGCACCTGGGCGTGCCGCCAACGCCTGGCTCGGATCCCACACTGTGATGGGAGTGCCATAAAGGCCACATTAAAAAGGAGCCATTGCAGCCTGACTCTCAGACCGCCTCCGGTCAAGGAGGAGGTCCAAGTTACCCCGTCAGTTGGCAACCTTCCAAGCCAAGGCTTTTAGCGCACCGTGATAGCTTCAAGCGCGTCAGATTGTTTATAGTGAGGAGAAAGTGCGCTGAGTCGTCGACCTCACTCTCCCTTCCCACTCCCACACCCCAGCTCGCGCTGGGTGCCACGAACTCGATAATTATGAGAGGCCAAGTTCGGCAAACGTGAACTTCCGATTATTCATCAACGGACCTCTTGTCATCTTGCCACCCATCTCTTGCAACAACCCACTCGCTAGCAATATCGGAGTCCTTCTATCATTGCTTTCAGGAAACAACTTAGACTACCCGTCTTCAGAGACTGAAGGGTTTCTGCACAGCTTCTATTATATTGCGTGCGATTTGCACGAACATTGTGCTAAGAGCAAGGCACGGCAGTGTGAGGTCTGGGTAGGAAAAGGAGCACAGTTTTGTCGTTGTGTGGGTGTGGGGGTGGGTGTGCTTAGGGGGTGTAGGGATGTCCCGTTGTGGGTACACGCAATGGTCGCAGCAGGTTGCTCACTAGCTTGCAGGTGTTGACAACACCTAGCGTCCATTAACTAGCACACAACCCTCACATGTGGCTCCCCAAGGCTATGCTCTGCCTGACGGCCACACCCCTGTAACCGCCTCAGCCGGCGGGTTCAATCAGGTGAGGGTATCGGTGTATGCAGCTCCACATACGGTAATTCTGCCCTCCCCTCCCTCCCCCCCCCTAAATATCACTGGCTGCATGGATCACCGCATCGCTATCTCCCAGATGAGGCTCCGCCTGCAACCCCACCGGAGGCCACAAGGTAAGTGACCATCCAGGAAAGCTGAATAACTCTTAGTTGTCTTTCCCTGCACATCATTGCATTTCAGCACTCAGCAAGCTATTGACCCAATGACTAGAAGACCCGCCCCTTTGTCCTTATCTGAACCTTCTCTTCCTCCACCTTCTCTCTTGCTCTATTCTGCTCTACTGTGCCACCTCACGGTCGGAAGTTGCACGGCGAGGCCGACGACGACGACGAGAACGTCGCCTCGAACTGAGGGACACGATCCAGTCAACCGCTCCGAGAATCCTCGGCCGCGTACTCTAAGTGAATTAACCGTCTCGATACAGAAAATAGAAAGGAGAATATCCAAAGAGTCAGATCTGGGAATAGTAAACGATTACAGAGACTTAGCGGGCAGGCGCGGTGGTAATCGTCGAGTCGTGTCCACGTGACCACGGATTCTGAAAAGGGGAGGAGGAACGAAAAAGTGCGTTTAGAACAATCGGCCGTCACACATGGACCTCGTCACCGCCGCACGTGAAAACTGCGGCCTGATCATCAACACAGAGAAGACGGTGGTCATGAATCAACTGCTACCCAACGCAGCCGACAATGCACCCCAAATTAACTTCAATGGAGCCGAACTGCAAGCCGGGGAAAACTTCAACTACCTGGATGATACCCTCTCTCGCAGCACCAAAATCGACGATGAAGTGGCCCACCAGATTTCCCAAGTCAGTCAAGCCTTCGCTGGCTTGCAAATCACCATCTGATATCGTCATCCTCTCCACCCCAACGCCAAACTGAAGATGTACAAAGCAGTCATGCTGGAGACGCTGTTGTATGGAGCGAAGACCCGGACGGTGTAAAAGGAGGTGTGAGAGATCAGCCACTTCCTCTGCACCTGTCTTCGACCGATACTAAAGCCGGGGTGATAGGCTCGGGTCCCAGACACGGAAGCATTGCAACGGACGCGAATCCGCAGCCATACTGAGACGACTGCAACTTCACCGGAGCGGCCACCCCATGCGGATGGAAGACGAGCGGATACCCAAACGACTCTTCTATGGAGATGTCACCACGGCTTCACGTCGACCAAGAGATCACGCCCGAGGCTATAAGGACATTCGGAGGACCTCCTTGAAGCGCCTGCAAATCAACTCGGCCAACTAGAAAAGCCTCCTCAGAGATCGACTGACCTGGAGTGGATCAGTGCAGTCAGGCGCAACAACCTACAAAGTCAACCGCGTTTCTGCCGCCAAATTTAAACGCGAAGCTTGCAAATCACAACTGCCCCGCCTCGCAACGCCCACACTCAACCACCCCAACCCGCCCACGATGCCGACGGATGTTCCGGTAACCAATCGGTCTTATTGGACATCTTAGGACCCAATGTAACACCAACACCAACTACTACAACAACAACAACAGCTACTACTACAACAACGACAACAACAACAACAGCTACAACAACAACAACAACAACAACAACAGCTACTACTACTACTACTACTACTACTACTACTACTACTACTACTACTACTACTACTACTACTACTACTACTACTACTACTACTACTACTACTACTACTACTACTACTACTACTACCACTGCTGCTGCTGCTGCTGCTTCCACTCTCGTCCCTGCGGCGAACTCTGCACCGACCGCCACCCCGTAATCGACGTTCAGACTGTCTCCGCCCCACTGCCATCATCCACCGACATCATTCGTTCCGCCCGACCACCACCACCACCACCACCACCACCATCATCATCATCACCACTGAAACGTACTTCGGCATTGACGAAGTATCCTATCTACCAATAGAAGCGAAGAGACGAGTCCCAGAAAGTAGTCTTGAAGAAGGAGACGATCGTGTCTTATCCTATCTACACTGTCCCCGCACGTTCGCCCCACTCATCGGCCTAGTCGGTCACATGCGAATCCATCGCACAGAGACTGGCGAACCTGGGACTGGAGCACCAGCCTACATTTGCCGCATCCCCGTCAACTGCCCTTACTGCATTCCCACACTCACTCACCGCACGGGTCTATTAGGACACATTCCCATTCACGAAAACCTGCGGTAGACAACCGCCGGCTACACCGCACAATCAACTTCTCCCCCACCAACACCATCACCCATCGCAAGTATCAAATTGTCTCCTCCCACGCAAGTTGGAAGTGTGCTTCTCGGCCTTTTTTCCATGAGGCCCCTATGCTGCATGAGTGACCCGAGTCTAAGACTAATGAAGTGCGCCAGACGCCGTGGCTTGGAAGGCTTCCAACTAACGCTCCAACGCACTCCACGCAGTCTGCCCAGTCTGTTCGTGTGCAGTGACGGACTGGTGGGCCGAAAGCCAGGCTGTCACGGCTCCTTCCTAAGTGATCTGTGACACTCATGCATGTGAAGAGTGCGTATGTGCTTTATGGGTAGTGCAGTCGACGACTGTTTGGTTATCCAGCCCTGAATTGTGACGGCCCCGGCAAATGGAGGGCCACGTGTCTCCCTATGGAGCCTAAAGTTCTGTAAGCGTCTGCTATGTCAGGATCAGCAGTCATGCCCCTCACGGCATGGTATGCGCTGACACCTGGTTCCCTGCCGGCTGACTCGCTTGCGCTCCCGCTGGGTATACAGATCATGAGCATGACTGCCCAGTCACCTTCGTCCATCCGACCCGTTGTGATGTTTTTTTTGTTGGTTAAAATCCTGGTCAATTGTTTTGTGGACCAGGAGGCATGGACTGGAGCGCCAAGTTGCGGGCTCGGCCGTGCCACCTATCTGTGCCATCCCCCACCTCCTGTCTTCCTGACCCTGTCTTGACATCGGGCCCATGTGGGAGAGGTGGAGGGAGTGCGGTAGATGCAGCGCATTTCTACTACCACTATAAAAGTAATCACGCGTAATCCACCGTGCCTATTTCACCTTGCTATGGAGCACACGGTGGACGAAGTCGGGCAGGACAGTCGAATTGTCGTGCGTGTTTGGGGTGTGGCGGTACGCTAAGCTGCGGGTTCGCACCGTGGCAATTGCGATCCGGTCCGTTTCCCTTTTCTCTTATTGTACGAAATCCTGGTCAGTGTACATTGTGGACCAGAGGGGCGTGGTGGTACGTCTAGGTGCGCCCTCTTCCGCCTCTGGCCTTCATGACCCTGTCTTGACACCAGGCCCAGGTGGGGGAGGTGGAGGGAGGGTGGTAAATGCAGCGCACCGCAAGTCACTGTCTCTACTCTCATCGTGATGTGCAACAGTCAGTGAACATTGTTGGTCACGACGATTGAGCTGCCGTGTCGCGTGTATGTCACCCTGGTCTTCACTGATTATGACAATCATTGCTGGCCCTGACGGTCTCACGCGCTGACTGTCTGTTTTCAAGCGGCTTAGAAAGACCTGGTGTGGAGCATACAGCAGGGTGCGGCAGTTGATTGAGCAGTCAGTCGATATCCAGGCTTCTGGCACCTGCTGTGACATACGATTGTCGCCCGAGCCAACAGTCTCAACGACATCAATGCTGAGAATAAGTCTCTTCTGCACGGTATGCGGCGATACCAGTGACTTCGGAGCATAAAATGGCTTTTGTTTTCACAATTGTTGATCGGTTTCTCCAACGTGGTTACCCTCCAGCACTTGCACTAAAGTTGGTGATAACGGCCGAAATCTCCTTGCTAGGAGTGGGGTCTTTTTGCATCATCACCTGCCAGTGGCATGTTCAGTCAAGTCTTTGCGTGTGTTCTATTCGTATATGTGCGAGGTATCCAGACACGAGCTCAGAGAGACTTTTGGCATCCGGAATTCTTCGCTTTGGTCTGACCTGATTGGCCTTCTCAATCCACTTAACTCGGAACATTTTACTCCCTTGACAACTAATCGTGAGGACTAGTCGGCTGCGATGGACTCTTGTAGGCCCTTTATCTCGTCCGACTAGGTGACTGGTGTACTATAGTAAGTGTCCGGGGTGTAGGGGTGTCAGCGGTGGGTTCACGTGATGGTCGTGGTGGTCGCTCACTTGCTTGCAGGTGAGACTGCGCCTAGAGTTCACTTGCTGGCACTCAACTCTTACTTGTGGCTCCACGTAGCTGGGCTCTGTTCAGCGGCCACACCCCGGGCAACCGTCTCGACCGGCGGGCTAAACCAGGCGAGGGGGCCCTGTGCGCTGTGCCGTGTGCACAGGGTTTGCGGATTCCGCTGGATGGAAGGTCGGATGGAACCTTGCGTCGGCACCGTCGTGACGTGGTTCGTCTCTGCACGCCGCTGGACAGCCGGTGACGGGATGGATCTCCACATCGACATCGCCTTGACACGCCCACCTACGCCGTCGGAGACCGCGGCTTACGGCGAATTCCAGTCGCTCTCCACTACAACCCGAAGTCGTTGTCCCATAGTGGAGTTCGGCCGTGCCACAACGGCACATGGCAGCCCTATTCAGGGATGGCACTGCCAGCCCCCACGAGGGGAAGGGCCTAGAAAAGGTGGCCTAAACATTGCTGGGCACCACGCCGTCTTCAGGCTAGCCAGGGCCGCAGATGTCTCAACATGGTAGAAACAATCAAAATCGAAACAACGACAATACCAATAACAACAACAACCATACTCATTCTCCTCATCCTACCTCTTCTTCCTCTTCCTCTGCCTATTCTTCTGCCTACTCTTCTCCTTCGCCATCTTCTTCTCCACCTCCTTCCCATCGCCCCACTCGTTGTCACCAGACTGTCAGGGTGAGTCCGCTCACTCTGGCAGCCTGGAATGTTCGTTCCCTTTTAGACAATCCGAGGAGCAACCGACCGGAACGAAGGACGGCGCTAGTGGCACGGGAACTGGCGCGCTACAAGCTGGACATCGCCGCACTCAGCGAGACCCGATTCTCCGGAGAAGGCCAACTGGAGGAGGTGGGTGCCGGTTACACCTTCTTCTGGAGCGGTCGACCCAGGGCAGAGCACGGGACGCGGGTGTCGCCTTCGCCATTCGGAACGACATCGTGGGACGACTGCCCTGTTTGCCGCAGGGCATCAACGATCGCCTGATGAGCCTCCGTCTGCCTCT